AACCTGGCAAATCGAGGGCGCTGTTATTACGACTCTACGAGTGAACAAGATAGCTTATCTGATGACTTACTCGGACATAAATAATATTTAAAACCGCAAAATTAAACTCAAATGCTTGACTGGTCTATTTCCACACACGACTCACCTGTTAGAATTATAAGTACACCCGCTATCTTTATCTTGGTGTTTCCAATCTCTTGTATAAAGCCCACAATAGCGAGTATTATAGCTAAAAGAGCCACAATACAAGCAGCTATCATACATCCTCGACTGATATGCATATAAGCTGTTGGGGGAAAACAGAGAAATACAAAACGGATTGTAAGATCTATATATATGCCATGGAATACTAGCTGGACGAAATACTTGGTTATACTCGTATCAAACATTATACAGAATAATTATCTTATGCGATATTGCACCATAGTCGTTGCGTAATTATTAATGACACACACAGGGATCGTTTTTTTAAATGATATTACTAGTATTTATTAAAGTCAAATTAAAATACACCCTTGAAATTATTGCAATCAAACACATCAAGAAAGAACGATGAGAACCGACAGCGATATAAAATGTAATTAATTTGAACAGCCCCCGATGTAATGTAATTAACAACAGACAAGTTCACTTTTAGGCATGTACTCGAGAGATGCTACTGAACAATGAACATTTAGAACACCACCGACGTGCTTGTCAACTACCTCTTAAGCTGCTCTGAATAGTTATTTCAAGAAAAGGCACATTTACATCATGCTCACAGGCACCGTTTGGTCTTTTATGATTCCCAATAACTACGTCGCCAGAAGCAATAACACTGATGAGTTACGACTTAACCAGAGTGCTTAAAGTCTACCAGTGCTTAATAATTTATTAATTTGTTATATATCAAATATTACCCACAATACATCAGCACAATCAGAACAATATGTTTCCCACTGCATTGCATGAAATAGCATTAGTCAGTATCTTACATTTATACACATACAAATATAGCGTCTGAATTTCTCAGTCAAAGAATGATAGCCTAATCATGCAATTCATTGGCGTGATTACACTAATTGGTTATGAAGCACGATTTCTGAAATCATTTTAACTTTGGGTGTGTCTGAGTAAATTAAAAAAAAACATCCAGAACCAAAGAAGGCAGGTAATATTAAAGTGTTTGTATATTCCCCGAAAAGCAACAACAGTCGAAGAAAAAATATTTATTGGTGAAACAAACGTCTGTCAAGAGTGCAGTATGGCGAGATGACGATCTATGCCTATCATTAACGGCATAGTAGCGACGCCATTATAAACTTTTCTTTTCAAATCTCTCGAGATTCATCTTACACCTTAAAAAACGGAATCTCGCGTTAACAAAGTCAATGATTAATTGTATTATGAAGATCATTTATAGATCTTACAATTCAATATGTACATTTGGGACTATTAATCAGGTTTTATCAAATACAGTGTCTTTGGTTTTAACAAGTTCAAATACAGCAATATCATATCCCCGGCGACCGTTAATGAATGTTCAAAAACATGGCGTCTAAAAAACATACTGAGATACACATACGAACAGCTGATGAGAATTTCTGCACGCATGCTAACTAACAAAGAGTACACACGATGTTGCTTTTAACGGAGACGTTGATTGGCTATACACTCACTACGCAACGCCAATCACAGTACTCGTTGCTTGATTATACCGGGTTCGATGACATGTACCAAATAACGAGCCTGACTCAACTGACGGTATATTCAGCCGTGAGATCTCAGTATCCAAGACAACAAAACTGAGATGGGACCTATTCACTCGCATGATTTAATCCACTAATTGTAGCCTCGTGTGCCGGTGGAATATCAAAAAGACGCAATATTGTTTAATTTGCTTTTAAGTTTACCCTTCAGCATATGCACTACATGGAATGCGTGCACGCACAAACAAATTACGATTTCTTTAATGCTTAGCCTAATAAACCATTTCTCGCGTTTGTTTTGAAAAGTCTGTGCCGTCCCATTCTCCCTTCACATAAAACATACCACAGCTACGGTAAAGTCTAAACAGAAACATGACACGTCTACGTTAAAACAGGAGAAGCCAACTTGATAGATTAATCTTCAATAATTTTATATAAGATCGGTACAGTCTACCGATGTATGAATTGTCCCATTTGTACGTAGCAGTACAAGGTAGAACACTACACTGACCGGCATGTGTCCATCTCTTGTGAAATGAATAAATGAAATTACAAAAACACAAAATAACCGATAATACAGAACGCATATTCTGTTACCAAACAACGTAGAATTAAAGAATGTTCTCACACTCCCCCCTCCTCATTAACGCAAAGTAATAATTTTCTCGTACATATTTGAAATATTTAAAGTATTCACTAGAACATATACATAAGTCACGGAGCCACACCGAGAGCGCTTGTATCTAGCTTTAAAGTTTAATTGAGGAAAGTATTACGTATGACTGACTATGTGGCATACTTCTAGATTTAAAGACATATTTCAACGGAAAATTTAAATTCAATGACGTTTTTTTTTTCTACATCCACAAAAATAGTACATAAATGAGATGGGAGCGACAAACGAGCGACATTTCAAAGGCGACACTTCAAGTTCTCCATGGACGGTTGGTAGCGAGATTATATGGGAACAGTTGAAAATAAATATTTCAAAGATCGTAGCTTGGATTTCATTTCTGTCAAAGGTCAAACTTTCCTTATGAGTATTTTAACACTCTTGCATAGCATGTGTCCCACTTCATATATGCTTTACGGTTTATCGTATCACATGTATTCTGGTGACACTCTCAATACTGGGTATTGCAATCATACTCCGTTGATGTAAGTCCAGGCTAATTTAAAGGAATGTATCAGTAAATTGAAAGAATGGATGCATAACAATTAACAATAAATCCTGAGAACTGATGTTTTAGTATTCAGCAAACCTCAACCACCAAAACAAATTAAAAACTGATTTCCTTCGAAGTAAATAGTACTTTTTAGGCGTGAATTCCTTAAATATACCAAGATATTTTACTAGTAATCAAGTCACAAAGCCTTCTTTTTAAACCGTCATAGGATTTTCAATATAATACCTTATTTGGTTAGTGTTCACTGGTTTCGATTAATTTATCGACTGTTTTATTAAAATATTGTTGTCAGTTTACAAAGGCCTCCACGGCCAGTCCGCAAAGTATATCTATATCTTTATAGCAGGCCAAGGTCGCGGTTAACGACATTATGTGACATCCGGCTGTGTGTACGTTGTATGTGCACCACACATGAAATACTCTACTAAACCATGCGCCAATATTAATTTGAAAAATTATTTGTTTAAAAACATCTAATCTGTAATAATTCTTCATCGTTATTTAGTTGTAATTTATGTCATTTAATTAAATAAATTATTATTACAATGCAAAATATTTCTAGGTATTTTAAAATAAAATTCCCGCAACTTAATGTTTAATACAGTATTAACAGAAAGTACATAAAGTATGTTCATCTCAAATACATACGTCGAAAAGAATTTCAACTTTTTTGGGAGAAAGCTTTCACGAAATGCATGGCATAGTGAATATTTAAATATTGTTAATTTTTCCGGCACCAATCGTAAGATTTCTCCACGCTATTGTAAACTCTTTAGATGTTTACCCGAATATTATTAATTCGTATATGGCGTGATATTTTGAATTGTCATATGTATATGTTATAATTTGTTATATTACTCCTTAAATGAATCGGAAAGGCTTAACATTACTTGTCGTGATAATGAATGATTACATGTCGCACACAGAGGACATATAATACAGAAGTATATAGCTTATTGACCACTGGTGACTGTTTAGCTCATACTATTTCTGACATATATTTACAAACTGCTTCATAAATTGAAATCCACGTGATTCAATCCTAATTTTAAGCCATTTTGGATTTAAGTTAGACATATTCTCAAAATAAATCATAATACAGGTGGCCCTGTACGAAGAAGTCAATTATCTCATAAGTTTAAATTCTGAAATATGTATCGACTCTATAATATATAGTCATTCCCGCTAAAATTACAATTCATAATAACAGTGAAATTTACCCTTCCAAATTTCGATCAAGCTACTGATTTAACCTGGCCAGCACAAATTTCTGAAAAACACACACTAAGACCTTTCCAGTGATACCACAAGTTATTAGTTGGTATAAAATCTACAAAAACAAATCGCGTTGCTTTCTCGCTCTTAGCGAGATCATGGCAGCCATTCGAGAATAAAGTCAGTTTGACTACTACTCGAAAGACTCGCTTTCGCTCACATATATAGATTATCTCTAAAATTAATGGGCTTCACGTACTTTAACGATCAAAATAAACATATAAAGATTTGATTAAATTGTTCTAGATGCATATAAAAGTTGAACTTTTTAATTTCCTTTCAGCTTTTCTCGGCGGGAGGTCTGTAGAAACCACATGTCGGAAATACACCATACAGATAAGCTAAATGTGCAACATATAGTAACTAAACTATGACTTGTCACTGTATTTTGAACCAAAGTAGACATTTTTGTAAATAAGGGCATAACCCTCAGTATAATCTGTAAATGAAAGATGAAATTAAAAGGTAATCGAAAAGATTAAGCCACTGATACTATGAGGTTGTTACGAGGATACTGCAAAGTATGCACGAAGGCAGTACAGCGGGAGTATCGAAACTACTTAACAAATCTGTTATGCAGTTGAGTTCCTCAATTTTCCATAAGCGTACTGCATGTCGTCTGAAAAGTCAGACTTATACGTGAAGGAAATAGTAAGCTTTGGACTGGTTTACATTTTTAAACCACACCCTATCGTGGGTAGAATAATCTCCTAAACCGTCATGCAAAGAGCCTTTGTTGGGTTGATATAAATTCGCCGATTGTTAAAGAACGTTGTTGTATTCGCGTGTGTCATTGCACTGTAACCAACCAATCGCCTTGTAAGCAGCTATCGGGTATTATTCATTTTTGTGTGGCGGATATATCGAATATTACCTACATTGAGATGAGGTTAGCCAAACCTTTAATAATTATATAGCGAAGGAGGGTGCTATCTAAAATGGCTAAACCAGTGTAGCACAGTGCAAGTAACTGAGTTTGAACCTTAGACGGGTTTATTTGAAATGAAATGAGTGCGATTCTAGTATCGAACAATGCTCTTTCATACTAGCTGTTCTATTTCTTTCTCTTCAATAATATCAACGACTTGGGCGGATCTCACATGAATGTCAAGGGGTGGGGTACACATAAAGGCATTTCGAGATTGTTTTATGATTTGAACTCTAATTTTGTAAGCCTTGTGTATTATTACTTTGACTTGATCGCATAAGGGGTGAAATCCAGATATAGTTAGCTTGCCAAGCCTGCGATCTAATAGTTTGATGGTGTATCATACAATCTGCCCAGTCTATTTGTTAAGGTCTTGTTTATTTTAATATATGGCACGTGGAGACGGTGATTCAAACGTGTAGTACATGTGTACTTAAACTTATAATACAATGTTACTGAAAAAAAGTTTAGTATTTAGCAAAATTATATTGAATAACCGTTAATGGTTTCGAAAAAAACATTCTCATTCTTTTCAGTGGCCCGAAGAAAGTTGGATCCACAGTAACTTAAACGTTGTTTTCTAGAAGTGCATTTATTATGCAATTGACCCAATACTAGGCAGCGCGAAACGGTTACAAATCATTGTAAAACTCCTCACTCGAGCCAGGTGTCTATTTTCTTTTATCTCAATTGACGAATAAGTAAATTTAGTGACATCAATAGGCTAATTCTGACACCCGATGTGGGAAGACAAGAATTGCGAAAAATAACATTGTTCTAGGGGGTCTTGTGTTAGGGACTCAACCGTACAGTTATCAACATCGCCGAGGGATTAATTCTGTGTAACGCATGGACACTTTGCTGTTAATTGTAAAGTAATTATGACATATAAGCACAATGTTCTATTTTGCATATTAATTAAGATATGAATGTATACGTGCGAGCTATAGTACATTTCACCCTTTACCACACCCTACAATAACCCAACAATATGTTAATGATGTCTATATCGTATAAAATAACTACCTGGAACGTCACCGAGATCGCTACACATATTAATAACGCCTGCATAGTTGGTACATTGCCTCCACAGTCCAGCACTAGTGGAGACTAAAGGGACTTCAATCCAATGGTCAGTGGCCGTGGCGCAAATATAGCCAGCGATAACGGCCAAGGACAACACGAGGCCCATTATCGGTATACATGACGCCATTGTTTGCTTGCGCGTTTTGCGGTGTAGATATTCTCGGCGGTGTTGACAATATTGGGTTCCTTGCCCTCATGGAAAGTATCACGCGATGTAGCGAGATTTCCGCAGGAATCAGGTCATAACACCATATATAGCGAGGCAACACAAAGTGGTTAACTGTTTGACCCAGGAATAACCCACTTCCGCATTCAATACTTAACGTGTCATAAAGGACATGCGCAGAGAGAAAGTTATTCAACAGCGCCATCAAACGTCGTTAATGATACACCAATTAGGATTCGCCGCATGCTTGTATATTGCAGCGTTGAATAAATGAGTATTCAGTATTCATCTTGTTTGGGTGATTTCCAGCCCTCGATTGACTAATATGCACAGTCATGGATCAGTTTTTTATTGAATATCCGGGTCATATCGGCATTAGTCCACCTCTATGTCAAATAGATAGATAGATATTTTATTTGACACTAACTTTATATATTGCCGGCAAAATACAACGTTTAACAAAATATCGACACAACATAAAATATATATATAAATAAAGTTTGTTCTGCGTTCTATGTTCCCCTACTTCAGTATACATACATTCTAATAGGTCATGAACTCTACTGCCAACTACTTATGTTGTTTTCAGCTTGTTTAACATGTCCGTGTGTCCATATTTTACAATGTAGCATTATTTTAACTGTGACATAAATTCAGTCATATCTTGTTCAGTTCAACATACTTTGGGTGAATTTAATAATGTGTGAATACAAGTCTAGCATATATTGCCATTTCTTGTATTTGTTTGAATTGAAACCCTACATATTATGTGTTATTGTCTAATGTCTCTATTCTTTTAGAATATTTTAACATTTGTATACATATTCCTATAATAACTTGGTAACTATCAAGTTGTCCATGCCTTCCGAACCATATGTCAAACAGTACTTTTATATGGGAGGACAACATTTTAGGGGACACTGTGTAGTTATGTAATTTTGAAATTTAAATAAAGTTAAATTAAAAAAAAACGTCTGAACTGAAGGAGACATACAATACTATTATTTTATTACGTTATTTGTACGTCATATGCCCATATGACCTTACACTACAAATTTATAGTATTAAATCACAGTGTATGATATCAAACGTAACTAGAATTAAATCGAGAATATATATATGGGAAATAAATAGATTTAGTTTGTTTATCTCGGGCTCTAGCAGACTTATGAGTTCATCACTGGCACATACTTCGCTCTACCGACCTTCAATTAGTTACACGGTGTATGTTTCCTGTCATTAAAATATAAGCATCCCTTACTCCTGTGCGAATTAGACTGTACCAAATCCGAAGGTACATGAATGTTTTTTTAATGGTCTAGAGGTTCATATTGCACCCCTTGTTTCAAATCCCCCGGCGCTAAACTTGAATATATCTTTGAAATCCCCAATTCCCAGCTCAGAATTGACATGATTTAAAGTATCTATTATAATTAAGCGAACTCTTTATTTCTTTATGTGCTTGATATGCTAATATATTTACAGATTTTGACTATATGTTTATACAATGCCAATATAAAACCTAGGTGTCTGTATGAATTCACTGTTAAATACTTTAATCATACATACGCCACCTTTACTTCCCTTGTGTCCTCTTTTTCGAAACACGGCAATCTTAGTTTTCTCTACATTGATCTTAAATTTTCATTAAACACAGACAGATTGCAATACGTAAACTAAACGTTTCAGAACAACCAATTACCAGCAGAGATGACTACGTCGTCTGCATCTAACAAAGCAAATTATGCGCTTCTTGGGTCAATTGATAACCATTTTTACCTACGGCAACATTCAAACTATGCCATTCAACATTAAATATAGTGAAAGGAATTGGACTCTTAATGCTGCAATTAAAGGGCGGTTGTCGTCACGCCACGCATGCTCGAGATATGGGTCTCATATAAACAAAGATGACGTTTTTGACTGTTGCGCAGACTACAAAGCTCAAACTGTGATGTTATCAAGCTTTGACTAGGTAATCTCTTTGGTGATTGGAAGATATCGAAATAGTCACCGGAGGAAATTAGTTCAAGTCGCGCCCAAGTCGAAACTCGTGCTTGTAATTTCCATTAGAAGTGCGCATTGGATTGTAGGAAAATCAATGTTTGTCAACACAAATGTCGCACATGCGCGTCGACCACCACCCTTTAACATATTCAGTCCACCATTAACTTTAGTACATAATTCAACATTGTACATTGACTTAACTTAATCAAATAACACTATTCTTCAGTTTAGTTTTCCTTTTCCCTCCCTATTGTTGCATACAAGATTAGTACATTCACCCAAACCCAATAAAGAGATACAAATGCTGTATAATGCAGTTTGGTTTTGAGAAATTCCTATTGCTATATATGTAGCGTCCTACATTGATAGTACAAACTGGGCTTTAAAAATGTTTTTTTTTTCAATCTCATTTTTCTCGATGTTATTCCCCTAAAATAGTATGAACGCTACTGTCCCGATGCTGGAATAAATATTTTGTGCTAAAAGGCAATCAAAATACAAGAGACATCTAAATATGTTATACTGATACAATCACGAATGCATTTACTCCTAATTTATGGAATTAATTTTGCTATGATATTGCGAAATAGTTTTGTTAGGTATCCTCGTAATAACCTTATTATTATACATCTTTACCTTCCAAGGACACATCATGGGAATGCCAAAATCCAAAAAGTTTAGAACAGAATCAGGTCAAACCCTGGAGGCAGCCATGATTGTTTTATTATAAGAGGACGCTTACGCGCGTACTCATTCCATATTTGGAATTCGCATTTCCTTATATGGTAGGATGAAAATATCCACGGTACGCTATAACTTATGGCGTTCAAGTGACAGATGTTTAATAATATTGGTTATCCAACATTGTATCGAATATGACGAATACGTGTT